GAGGGACAGGGTTCGATTCCAGCTCCGGCCTTCCTATGTTAAGTTTGCATGTTCTCCTCGTCCCTGTGTGGGTTTTGTCCAGGTACTCTGGTTTCCTCCCACATTCCAAAAACATGCACAGCAGGCTGATTGAACACTCTGAATTGTCCCTTGGCGTGAATGTGAGCGTGAATGGTTGTTCGTCTATGTGTGCCCTGCGATTCGCTGGCAAACGGTTCAGGGTGTCCCCCGCCTACTGCTCGAAGACAGTTGGGATAGGCTCCAACATACAGGCGACCCTTGTGAGGAGAAGCAGATTAGAAAATGGATGGGTGACTGTAAATTGCAAAGATATTTCAAAATTAGATTAAGACAGAGTTGAAAAAAAAGAAAAAGGCCCCAGGGTTGTGTGTCAATACTTCGGGCATCTTAAATATTTAATCAATACGGTTCTTTGGTAGTTAATGTTAGTATAACGAGCGTCAAATATAAAGGACCGACGCAATTTCGCTCAGAACATTTCAAATAATACCACACAATACAATAAAAACATCCATCCATCCATCCATTTTCTGATCCGCTTTATCCTCACAAGGGTCGTGGGGCATGCTGGAGCCTATCCCAGCTGTCGTCGGGCAATAGGCGGGGACACCCTGAACTGGTTGCGGGCCAATCGCAGACAATAAAAACATATTTAAATATTATTGTCTCCAGCAGGTGTCCGTATTGAGTTCCAGAGTGACGCAGCACAGTGTCATGAGAGGCACTGCTGAACAAGGCCTCATCTGTCCAACTAATGGACACATAATTGCTCTTTAATGTCAATATTCATGAAACAATGTTGAGACACTTTTTCAATGAATATTGGTAAACTGCGCTTCCGCTTTTGTTAACAACCTATCGTGTGACAGTACTGTGTCATTGGGTCTTCTGAGTTCTCGCATTGGTTGAGCGCTCTGTCCATCATAAACCACCGTCACGTGACTCGTGTTTACAGCGTTTCACTTCTGCCTTCCGTCGTCTCGGTGCGCAGTGTCAACATCCGAAGTTGGGGCTTTAAAATCTCGCAACAAGTTGCGCGAGCGAGTCATTGAATAGTCGGCGCTGTGGTTTGGCTTCTTCCTGGGGGCTGTGGGACGAGTAGAGACCCGCTGGAAGTGATGGCGGACGGGGAGAGGTCACCGCTGCTGTCCGGGCAATACGACGGGACAAACGGCAATTCGTTGGGCGGAAGTTCGTACGGACTACTCGCTGAAGTCCAGAGTATGTCAGAAATGTCAGAAATATCACATATACCGACATACACAACTCACTAAATATTGTGGATATTAAGTTCGCCTAAACTCATAGGAATATTTCATTTCGTAAAAAGGTCGACAGACAATGGTTGCTGGTCCCGCATTCAATGAAAGTTTCTCACGTGACTTCTTGGTAGTCATATCGTCAGAAACATTAATAGCAAGTATGAGCACGTAGTATTCTTTAAAACTACAAGGACATACACATCAATCTGTCAGGACTTTGGAAGCGGAGAGTCACGGTTGGACTGGACAAAAAATGTGAAAGGGCAACTACAGTGTCCCTTCGCCGTCATCCGCGTTCACTTTTTGCGGTCTCGTTGTACCCTGGAATTCGAACTCATTACATATCTAATTTAAAATCGAGGCATTTTCGCTGAATGAGAATTTGCAGTGATTTTATTAGCGAAAACATACGTCACTCCCCCTTTAAAACCACATACTGTACTGTACAACTGGAGGATGGCGACGCCAAGTGGATGAAAATAATACCTGCACTTCACATTCGAGTTTTTTTTTTTTTTTACAATGTATTATGCAATAAATATTTGAAATGCCAATGAGGAAGACACCTGTGATGAGATGTTATAACAAAAGCCTCCCTCCCCTTTAGGTTTGGTGCTCGATGAACCCCCGCCACCCTATTCGCCGCGCAGCAGCCTGGACGGCTGCAGCAGCGACAATGCTCCAGTCATCAGCTGCCGCGTTTGTCAAAGAGCTATTTGCGTGGAAGGCAAGATGCACCAGCATGTCGTCAAGTGTGGTGTTTGCAATGAAGCGACTGTGAGTCCCGTATCACATATACTTCCCACATATTGCACGCTTCTGAGAGTTTGCGATTTTTCCCTTCCTTCTGCAGCCCATTAAGAACGCTCCGGCTGGGAAGAAGTATGTTCGATGTCCGTGTAACTGTCTGCTCATCTGCAAAGTCACGTCACAGAAGATAGCATGCCCAAGACCCTACTGGTTGGCTTTCACATTCTTGACCACCTTATGGCAAAACTAATATCTCACTCAGAGACTGTGTCTGCAAAGTGATTTCGATTGATCTGGTCTTTTCCCTAAAATAGTGTTAAGACATTGAGGGAGCTTTTGAGGCTTTTAGAAAGTTGCCAAACATTCCTGTCCCATTTGCAGATCATTTTGCTGACATTAAGTCATATATTCCTAATTTCATTACTTTTCCCCTTTTTTTTCATGCCCATTTTTTTCAGTGTATCCATGTTGAGTTTCATCGGAGTTGCATGAAAGCCAAATGGAATTTCAGATTTTAATTTTGTGGCCTTCCTTCTAGTAAACGCATCATCAATCTGGGCCCAGTTCACGTCGGCAGGGAAAGTCCAGAACTGCAGCACCCACCCGTCGGGGTCCGAGTCATCTGCGGCCATTGTTCCAATACGTTCTTGGTACGCCGCACATTTCCCGCACGTCCTCCATATTCTCTCACACGGCCGACTCACCTTCAGTTTCTCTCCCAGTGGACGGAGTTTTCCGACAGGACCTTGTCCAGATGTCCGCACTGCCGTAAAGTGTAAGCGCCTCTTTTCCGCTTTATGTCAAGAACTCCTCGACAGGATATGACTTCCACATTTGGTTTGGTGTTCTTTCAGCTCCTCCGTTGGCCGGCGGTACCCGAGGAGGAGGAGCCTGCTGTGTTTCATGGTCTTCGCCGTGGTGGCCACCTCCACCGCGGGACTGATGGTTAGTGTGCACAGAGGTGAGGAGAACGCAGCGGCGGGATGAACGTCAACCTCAAATTTTGCATCCAGGTGGGAACGTGGCAGCCCGCTCGGGACTCCAAAGGGATCTACGCCGCGTGGGTGCTGCTCGTCTTCATCGCCGCCTTCGCTCTTGCCAGGACCGTCTACTGGAGTTGTCTGAAAATTAGCCAGCCCATTCCAACGTGATTTTGAAGCCGTAGCACGCCCACATCACTGACTGCACTTTTTAAATATGTGCCGGGAGTTTGTTTATTAGGAATACAGTGACCCCTTGTTATTGGCAGGAGTAAGGGACCAAGCCCGGTGCTAATTGTAGTACATTCTTTGCAAGTAATGAATGTTAGTATTGTTATCTTAAGTTTAAGATATTCTCTGCAAATATGGCGCTTGAGAAGGAGCCTGGGTTTGGCTGACATTTTTAGAGCATGACAAAAAGAGCACACAATTATACGGGTATGTGTGAATAGATTTGAGTTACTGTTAGGGGTGCTTGATTGTGAAAAAAAAAAAAGAATCTGGATTATTTTGGTAAGAAAATAAAATCACAATTATTCAATCAATTATTTTTTGATATAAAACATAAATATGAAATTATAAAAAATGTTAAAAGACAAATTCTTTGAAACACTATAATTATGTAAGATCCTTTTGGACCAAACAAAATTTACAAAAGTAGTTGTTTTTTTTTTTAACTAAAAAAGGTGCAAATGTACACATTCAAATATAGTTTCCTTGTATAAACAAACAGTGCATTGGAGTTTACTTGCAGTACACTTATAAATTGCCAATTGTTGTAACATTGCAATAAACAATTTTAATACTCAACTCAACTGTATTTATAGACTACTTTAAAACAACCACTGCTGCATACAAAGTGATAGACCAATGAAGTGTCCTCAATAATTCTGATTCAAATGAGCACTGCCTACTGAATCACGTTGCACGACTGTATTGTACTCATTTTCCACTCTGTATTTTTTTCTGTATATTGTCAGACAAAAAAATACAAATTTAAACACAAATTTGCACTCAAAAATAATAGTCTTGTCATCTCGGGATTGGCTGGTAATGTGGAAAAACCACCGTATTGTCAAAGTACATTGCTCAGTGCCTTGCTGCTTGCTTGTTCATGTAAAACACCAAATGTAATTTTAATTAAAATGTTAATAGACGGGCAGCACGGTGGTCGACTGGTTAGCACCCCGTCCTCACAGTGCAGAGGTGCGGGGTTCACCGCCTTCCTGTGTGGAGTTTGCATGTTCTCTCCGAGCCTGCGTGGGTTTTCTCCGGGTACTCCAGTTTCCTCTCACGTTCCAAAAACATGCATGACAGGCTAATTTAATACTCTAAATTGTCCCTCGTGTGAGTGTAAGCGCGAATGGTTGTTCATCTCTGTGTGCCCTGCGATTGGCTGGCAACCGATTCAGGGTGTCCGCCGCCTACTGCTCCAAGGCAGCCGGGATAGACTCCAGCACACCTTCAACCCTCATGAGGATACAGCGGTTCAGATCATGGATGGATGGATGGATGCAATGGTTTTCATATTAGTGTGGAAAAATATTGATTCATGCACGCAAGAGGCTCTTGTATGTTGAGAATATTAGGTGTTATTATACTATTATTGAGTGCAGACATGCATTTTCCCGTAGTTTTTCTTTTCCATTTACAGTACTTTGAAGTGTACAGTACAAACTTTTGCTACTGGTTATGTCACGCTATACAAATGCAACGAAACACGCAGTCGTTTGCATGAACAGCAGTAATTTTGAGCAAAGCAAGCACCCAACAAACTTTATAATTATTATTTTTTTAATATTATCAGCGTTGTGTTGTCATCCAGATCTATCTATCTATCTATCTATCTATCTCTATAGATAGATAGTTCGATCGATAGATGTATGCACACACATACATATATACATACACTGATAAAATTTTGACCAAATATTCCGATATATCACATTTAAAATGACTGTAGTTTCTTCGTTTTCTTCACGGAAGAGGCGTGCGTGTTGTACACTAACTTCCGTTATTGGCGACGTGACGCCAAGCTAGCGCTCGCTAGCACCGTCGCGGCGAAGGACACGACCGTTTGCTTTTACTATTGTTAACAAAGGTAAAAATACGCACGTACACACACATTTGTCGGGAGGGCTATTTTGCTGATTACCAGCATTGTTTTGTGTTGTGTTGTGTTATGTTGTGTGGTTTGGACAGCGATCCAGTTTGTATCGTCGGGAGATTAAAGGCCTGCTGTTTTGTCAACAATCGGCCACGGTGGCCGTTTTATTTTATTTTTTAAAGCAAAAAATAATACATACACAGTGTCGTAATACTGTTTTCTGTCTTGTTAACCAAATGGTGAAATGTTGTCTCATGTTTTGTTGTTTTTTTCCCCTCAACGAGTTTTAGTCCATGTAGTGGGAGTGTAGCACATACCCGTTAACGTCGCCATGCATTTTCTAAACGGACATCAACTCATTTTGAACTTCTCCAAACATTATTTAAGCACAGCACGTTTGAATTTTCATCCTTTCATTTACTTTGTTTTGCATTTAACTTAACTATTTTACGTATATTCTAGTTGTTTTCATTCTGTAAAATACTGGACCATTCGGGATGGTTTTAAGATGTATGGCTGATGTTAAGGCAGGACTAATACAACAAAAACGTGACTTGATGTGATCTGACTTGCAAGAAATGTTGGCACTTTGCGTGGTTGTTGCTGGATATGCATCAAAGACAACCCAATAAATCATGTTAGGATTTGTGTGTCATTGATGGAGGTGCTACTTTATCTGTGTGTCATTTTTTTGCGAGTCACAAGCAGGAAGTGTGAGCTCCGCTGCACAACTGTATCTGAAAGGAAATGAAGAGTGGACGACCTGAGATGAAAAGTTCCCCCCTGAAGAAGTGTTCCTGTCCAGTGAACAGCGGTCTACTTCCCTGCAGTTAACCTCATTTTGTTTTTGTAACTCTTTCCAGCTTTGTGTTGACATCGAAGCATTGTACTGCTTCTCCTACTCCAAGGCCCCACCAAACACTACCTGTTTGGCGGACTAGCCGGGAGTTCGTTCCTGATTGTCCCACAGGCAGCCATGTCTCATCCTCTGTACAACCCTTATGGGGCCCAACGAAGGCAGGCAGAGAGCGACCCCCATAGGGTGTCTTCTTGTGTCGGACTTGGACCCAGCCTCAGCTCCTCCACACATGGACCGCAGGCTTCTGAAAGCCAGGCGATTCCTTCGCTGCTGCGCAATTATCAACCCAAGCCAGGATCCAAGACCAAGGAAGACATCCTGGCTTTGGATCAAGACTCTCGCAGACAAGAGTTCTCCCCGGAATCAGCAGCTAGCTCTTACCAAAATATCAGCAGAAACTTTGACGGCAGCGGCGACTCTCTCAATTGCATGTCAAATTATAGCCGAACAGCCGGTGACACCACCTCCTCCTCCTCCTCCGCTCATTATCAACAGTCAACGTCAGCGGGTCGTTCTTTGTTTAGTGCCTCCAGTAAGCAGGATCATGAGCTCCGTTCAATTCTACACCGAGATTACAGCGAACCTCACATGGCCCAATCTTCTGAGCCCACTCAAGCCAAATATACCTGTGAGGCAGCTGCCAACATCCTGGTGCAATTTGGACTTGAAAAGGGTGATTTGGAGCATCTTATATCCTACCCTGAAGACCAGATCACCCCTGCCAACTTACCCTTCATCTTGCGCCAAATCCGCATTCAGAAGACCAAGAAGGCCTCGGCTGTCGCTCGAGGCGGCCCTGCTAGTGGGGACAGTTGGAGAAGCCCTGTCCTGGCGGGGATGGAACGAGAGGATGCATCGTCTCCTCTTTTCCAGTCTAGTAAGGTCATTGACTATGGACATACGAGCAAATATGCTGGAATGTTTGGGGAGGATGTTGAGAGTGGAGCTGAAAGAGCTGAGGGTGACAGTTTGGACAGAAGAAGTCGCGGTCAAGAGCTGGCGCAGCCTGCACCTTCTCGCCCCGATCAGAAGGAAACTAGCAGCTCTTTCCTCAGCTCCATCCTGAAATCTACCCAGCCCAAAAGTCATGACCCGGTCAAACCAGCGCTGACTAGCGTACAGTCAACGTTCACAACTTTTTCTATGCCGACAAAAGACACCGATGCTCGTGACGTCAAATCTCAAGCCCCAAAAGCCACAGCTTCTGAACGAAAGCAGGACAAGCCTAAGCCCATCTTAAAACCACAACCGTCACCCGCTTTCCATCGTCGTGCCCATCCCGACAGGCCCGACCTCGTAGTCCTCGGAGGAGATGATGCCAGCGACAGCAGCGACCAGCGGAAAAGTCAAACTCCGGCCGGTGCAAACAAGGCCCAAAAACCGAAGATGCCTGCGCAGCAGTCGACCGTCAAGAAAGGGCAACCACAAAAGCAGACGTCCACACAGAAGTCAGCGGAAGTCAAGAAGCAGCAGGTGCCCAAGACCCAGACCAAGACCCAGACCAAGACCCAGACCAAGACCCCGACCAAGACCCCGACCAAGCCCCCACAGCCGGCTAAAAGGAAGACATTGCTGCCAGACTCTCCGTTGGCGGAGGCGAGCTGGCAGCAGGTTTTCACTGCGAGGCAGCAGGTTCAACCCATCCACCCCGTTTGCCCCCTGCCCAGCCTCTTGAACGTTCTTGCATTTCCGTCGTTTGGCCGGGATCCGGGTGATGGCGGCAATCAACTCCCGCAGCCGGTTCTGGCGCAGGTCACGGTCTCTGAGGGTTTGCCAACGTCGGCCAAGATGCTGGACTATGCAGCGGCCACGCCCAGAGTCTTTCCACACACGTGTTCTCTGTGTAACAAAGGGTGCGCCCTGATGAAGGTGAGTGGACCTCCCCTCTCCTGTACTGTCTCACTATGGATGCCCAATTCCAATCTCCCCTTTTGCCACACTATGTACGTAACGCTGTGCTATGCTGTTGCACTTTGTTACATTTTGTACTTTGTTTGATGGACCCAATGATTCATGTTGACCAATTGTTTGTCAGCGTTTCGACATCGACAGAAGAACCCAGCGGCGATGATGATTTTTTTTTTTTTTTTTTTTTTTTTTTGGGTGACTTTTATATTCAGTTTTTCAATGCATCTGATGTTTATCTTATAAACAATTGTACTCATGGACAAACATTTGAATATTTGATATTCGTTTTTGTTGGGTTTTTTTTTTTTTTTTTGCCACGCCATTGTCTTCTTTGACCACTTTGCATTGACTTGTTGGATCCCATCGACTTATTCCCCTCTGCTCCGGGCATTTTTTTTTCCTGATCCTTCCTGACCTCCAGGCCTAGCAGAAGCAAGTCAACAAGAACATTTATTCGAAAAACCATTTCATTGGGGCTCCTTGGAGTGATTGCCATCAGGACTTGTCGCGCTTCGGCAAGGAAACAAGTACTTTTAGTGTGTCTGTTTTGATGAATCCTGAGGAATATCCAAATCCTGCGGCAACTGTGACTGTGAATCTTAGTATGTTGTTATTCATGCCTTGTGCTGACTGCCCTTTTCATTCATTGCTGTGTTTGCCTGCCAGGATTGGCTCATTCACCAGAACTCCAACATACACCTTGAGAGCTGCAGAGTCCTTCGCATGCTCCGGGCATTCTTTTTTTTTTTTTTTTTTTTTTTTTTTTTTTTTGTCTTTCTCTCTCCTCCCACCCCCAAACCTGTCTTCTTCAAAAGACAATTGCTTTGTTGTTGAGATGTGCTTGACTGTTGTTCGTCTCGTAAAACTAATTGGAGATGTTTGGTGGTACCACCCAGATATCCAAACTGGGATGGCGAGGTGTTGTATAGCCACGAGGATCAGGAGCGAAAGAAGCCGACGTCCATCACACACTCTCAGAGTAAGAAACCTCATCGTGGGGCTCGCTCACCACCTTCCCACTCCAGCCCTCGCCGGTGCAGCTCAGATGCTCAGAGAGAGAAGAGGACAAGGAGGAGTAGTCGATCCCGTTCGCCTCACAGCTCCAAATACAAGCGCAGGTTCTGTCGCGTTTTTGACCTATTTGATGGACCGGATTCTTTCAAGTTTGAAATTCTCATCGCGGAAATATTCCAGGTCTCGTTCTTGCTCCACAAGCTCGTCCAACTACCGCCGCTCACGCTCGAGAAGTTACGAGAGGCGTCCTCTGCGACGAAGTCAGGAGGGGCACTCATCATTGAGAAGGAGTCATGGGAGGCGGTCGTCGTCGCGCAGGCGGTCGTCATCGCGCAGGCGGTCGTCATCGCGCAGGCGGTCGTCGTCAAGCAGGCGGTCCTCGTCCCGCAGACGGTCCTCATCGCGCAGGCGGTCCTCGTCACGGAGCCGCCATGCTAGGCTCTCGTCTCCGAAGAGAATCCGTGAGAGATGTCTGCCCCCTACAAGGACCCATATTACAAGTGCTACCATGCGGACGAGCCAGCAGACGTCAGTCAAGGCAGAGAGACTTGCAGAGAAGCTTTTGGAATCATCAGGTATGATGTCGTCGACAGACACACAACGCAACAGGGCTGATGTGATTTAACCACTTTGTCTTCTATCCAGCTGTCCAGTCTCTGTCGAAGCAGTCTGATGTGGAGACTATGGTCAAAACTCTGGCCCCCGCCTTGTTGGCGGAGTTGGCCAAGTTGGAGGCGACTCCTTCAACCTCTTCCAGAGGAAGAATCAGCGCGACATTCGCAGCCTCCGCCTCCTCATCTGCAGCCAACAAAAAGCCAGTCGCAGCCTCTGGCCAACAGAAAGCTTCCTCCGCAAAGACCAAGGTTCGGTGCACGGGATTGCGAAATGGAGGTACGGTCTCCTTTCTGACTTCTTTCGAGTCACGTTGTGCTCGTTGCCATCGCGCAGCCTGTCAAAGCCTCCGTCCCGACCATTGTGACGCTGGGAAAGATTCACCGTTCTCTCACCTACCTTGAGATTGTGGCTGCCGCTGAGCACTATGGAAAGACCAAATCGGTTGTCGTGTTTCGCTCCAAAGGGGAGGTAACGTTCTTTGTTGCGTTTCTGCCTAACACGCTTGAGGGAATTCACAATGAGCTCGAATGCCATGTCGAGTGCTCCCTCGTCTTCCCGAGTTCGCACTGTGTTCACTGCGCATGCGGGTATATTCATGCAGGCAATCGTGTGTTTTGAGAAGAAGGAAGATGCAGAGAAACTGAGGAAGGCAAGGAACCTCAAAATTAAAGGACTTCCAGTCTCTATTCTGGAAAACAAGGTGGGCGTGTTGAGAGTGTACTTGCGCGTTTATTCCGTGTCGGTAAATCAAAATAACTTTGTGTTTTGCTGCAGGAGAGTGTCCCCGACGCGCCGAAGACCAATCCTCAGAAGTAAGTGGCATTGCTCTCTCCTTGCGTGATCGCGTCAAGTAAAAGGTCATTACATCACAATCGCTCTGTTTTCCTAGAAATCCACCTGGGGCTTCCAAAGTCTCTAAGACGCAAACGTCCAAAAGTACCTCGGCCACGCCTGCGGCCCAGGCCAAAGCGAAAAATGTCCCCGGCAAAGAGATCACAAAAACTGTGAAAAAAATTCCGCTGAAGGCCAAGATAAAACCCACCTGCAAGGTCATCAGTCAAACGAAAAAAGCCCAAGCACGCACTGCGAAACCACCGGGAGGCGCTGTTTTGAAGGTCAACACCACAGACGAGCAGCGCAGTGTGGTCGCGACTCCAACGGAACCAGAACCAGGAAAGGTGACTGAACCTCTGCAGCAAGCAGTGTTTAAAAGCAATCTGCCAACGGAAGACGTGAGTGACACGGAACTTCCGCCTGAGCCCATGCAAGTGGACCCTCCTATAGCGACCAAAGAGCAAAATCGGCAGACTATCGGGCCTCAAGCAGGACCCGCAACAGGACCAGTGGCTCCCCAAGCGGACTCACTTGTCGAACAGCCACGTGACCCTGAAAGCAGTGGCGTCCAGCAACAAGGTTAGTTCCTTTTCTTTTATTATTCTTATTATTAGTTCCCCTCTTGGAAAAAAAATGTAGATTGAAGATAAGAGGCCAACTCAATTGTACCTCAAAAACCCTCAAAACTCAGTTCAGATGATAATATGCTTAAGTGCAGTGACAGTACATTAGTATCATTCATTTCATCTCGTTTCCCTGATAGTGCCAGCCAAGACAATACTAGATGCAGCTGTGATGGAGGAAGCGGCGCCCCCATGCAGTTTGGATGCAGCACCGGTTATAGATTCCGTTCCCCAACGCAGTTCTGAGGCAGCACCGGTGGAGCAGGCCCCCTCCCAACGTGGCTCTGAAGCATCAGTGAAGGAGGATGTGGGTTCCTCACACCACTTTGACCGAGCAGTGACGGAGGAAGCGGTGCCCCAATGTGGGTCCGACGCAGCATTGAAAAACAATGCCGCTCCAAAGCCTGGCTCAGAGGCAGCATTTGAAAGTGATTTGGGGCTCCCGTGCGGTTCCAATGCCGCGGTGAGAAAGGATGCAGTGCCCCCAGCCGGCTCAGATTCAGCAGTTGAAAAGGAAGCGCCACTCCAGTGTGGCTCCAATGCAGTGGTGAAGAACAATTCGGCGCCCCCACACAGCTCCAATGCAGCACTGAAGAAGGGCGCGGCGCCCCTGTGCGGGTCTGACACAGCAGCAAAGAAGGATCCGGTGACTTCACGTGAATCCGATGCAGCAGCGAAGGACAAAGCGCCGCCAATGAGCGTCTCAAAAGCATCAGAAAAGAAGGATGCGGCGCCACCTCAAGGCTCCGACGCAGCAGTGTGGAAGCCGCCGGTGACCTCGCGTGGATCCGATGTAAAGGAGAGTATGCCCCCGTGTGTTTCGGACTCAGCAGTAAAAAAGGATGTCGTGCCCCAGTGCGGCTTCAATGTAGCAGCCAAGAAAGATTTGGTGGCCTCACATGAATCCGATGCAGCACTGAAGGACAATGTGACACCCCCGTCTGGTTCAGAGACAACAGTAGAACAGGATGCGGCCCCCCTATGCGGCTCCAACCAATCAGTGAAGAAGGATGTGACGATCTCACGTGAATCCGATGCCGCAGCGAAGGACATAGAGGTGCCCCCATGTGGGTCAGACACAACAGTAGAAAAGGATGTGGCGTCCCAAAGCGGCTCCAACCAATCAGTGAAGAAGGATTCAGCGATCTCACCTGAGTGCGACACAGCAGCGAAGAAGGTTTCGGCGAGCTCATGTCAATCCAATGCAGCAGCAAAGAAGGATTCAGCCACCTCACGTGAATCCGATGCCGCGGCGAAGGACAACATGGCTCCCCCATGTGGTTCAGACCCACCCGTAAAAAAAGATGCGTCACCTGAACGGGACGCCGACCAATCAGTAAAGAAGGATCTGGCGATCTCAACTGAATCCGATGCAGCAACGGTGAAGGATTCCGCAACCTCACGGGAATCCGATGAAGCGGCGAAGGACAATGTGGCTCCCCCATGTGGTTCGGACACAGCAATAAAAAAAGATGCGGCGCCTCAAGGCGGCTCCAGCCAATCAGCATCGAAGGATCCGGCGACCTCACATGAATCCGATGCAGCGGCAAAGGGCAATGTGTCACCCCCATGTGGTTCAGTCACAACAGTAAAAAAAGGTGCGGCGCCACAAGGCGGCTCCAGCGAATCAGTGAAGAAGGACCTGGCGATCTCACCTGAATCCGATGCGGCAGCGAAGGACACGGTGGCACCCCCATGTGATTCTAACGCAACATTAAAAAAGGATGTGGCCCTCCAACACGGCTCCAACACAACAAACAAGGAGGATTCGGCAACCTCGTGTCAATCCGATGCAGCAGCAAAGGGTAGTGCGTCGCCCCTGTGTGTCTCAGGGACAGCAGCAAAGAAGGATTTGGAGCCTGCGCATGGCTTTGGGCCACCAGTGCGGAAGCATCCGGCACCCCCGCACAGTTCCACAGCACCAAAGAAGCGTGTGGCACCCCAACACAGTTCGGGCATAGCTGCCCGACTCACCGTTGGAGAGAGAATGAAAGACATTCTGCCTCCACATCATATCTGTAAGCCCCCAAATTTTGCAAGCATTAAATCACTCCTTGGTACAAAAATATCAATTTGTCTGTTTCAGATGGCATGAAAACCAGAACCTACCTCAACCAAAAGGTAAGACGTCGGCAAATGTTCCATTTTGACAGATTGACAACGGACCGGTGGCTCTGATGTTGTGTGTTTCCAGTTTTACTTAAGGAATTTAGTTGTGCTGCACATCATCAACCTGCCCGATGAAGAGCACAGCTACTGCGAGCAAGATGTCATCGATGTGTTCAAGCCGTTTGGACTTGCAACTTTTGATGACTGCGTCTACGTTATTCCTCAAACAAAAATGGTACGTCTCTCTTTACTCCGCGGATCCGGGCAAGAAAAGTGTCTCTTGGGAAGTTGTCAGGTCTCGTGAGAAAACATAACTCACCTTTCAGGCATTTGTTCAACTGAGGACACCCTCATCTACGCACATGGCCATAACGGCCAGCCAAGATGGAACATTTGCTCTCAAGGACTTTGCACAGCGAATTCATGTGCAAGTCATGTACAAAAACATCCCCATGTGGCCGGTATGCAACCGAAACAAAATCACACAATGTTGGTGACCTAACACGATGTTAACCTGACGTTTGTGTTTCAGGCTGACTTCTATAAGTGGCTGATGCGGCAGATGAAATGCGTAAGTCAAGCAAATTGGGGTTAAATGTGACGACCGTGTGATACATTTGGGTAAACGCCCATCTTCATCTTTTCAACTTGGACCCGCAGTCCGTATCGAACCACGGCCCGAGGACCGTCCTCGTCAAAGGCATCAAGTCGTCCGAGATCGCCAGCCTTCGGGAAGCTCTGAGGAAAATCGGCGGCGTGGTCAACTTCATGCCGCTTCTGAACAAGGTTAGTTGCGTCGGCGCACTCGTTTCAGGAATCGACGGTCACTGTGAAAGTCGTTGAGATTTGACCCGCTCGTTCCAGGTCTTTGTGGAATTTGAGTCTGCTTCAGATGCTGATCGCTTCGGCGTTTGGCACTCCCTCCACAAGAAGTGTCCTGCCTATCAGCTCCACAGGTTGGGCATGCCTATTGTTGGCAATGATTCATCAAGTAAGTTTCTCCGACCGGCCGGCCGACCGACATCGGGATGGAAAAATGAGGACTCGAGGAGAGCGTGTGTTCTTCTCGCCACACAGGATCACAACTTTCTCATCAAGCCATGCCGGACAGCAATGTGGCATTCCCCGGGGCAACCGTTCCGACGATTAAACATGGCGTTCCGCAAAGCTCCTATGCCCCGTTTTACCTGACCATGAGGACAAAACCCTTCCTCTTTTCGACCTTTTCCCCCTGGTTCGTCATTCCAGGTGAGAGCCACGCTCCTTCTGTCCCAGGCGCCCGTGTCACGTCTGGACTCGGCAATCTGGTGTGCTTCTTGCAGAGTTTGTGACCGTCAGACGAGCACCCGACATTAACACGGCCAAGTGTCGTGGCGCGGAAGCGGCATGCACCATCATGTTGACAGGCTTGCCTCAAGGATTTTACAGACAGGAGGATGTGGCGCGGCACGCGTGGCCCTATTTTGCCCGCAGGGACCTTCAGACGCTCTGGTACAGTGTGAGCGTGCTGCCGCTCCAGAGGAGGGTGAGGGCACCGCAGCTATGCGCCGCCGCACGTTGTTTGGACGGCAAAATGCTCATTAGGCCTCCCCTGGCTTGCAGGCCTTTGTGCATTTCACTGACTGGAAATCCTGTTGCTGCTTCGTCGAGCGTTACTTACAAGAACAGCTGCGAGTGAGCGGCTCCAGGCTATCGATGCACTTTGTCCTGCAGCCCATGTGTACCGAACCCAACGAGGTACAAACACCTGCAAAGGCGGCTATTGATGACATCGCTAACTGCGATTTGTACTGTCTTGACAGGCGAGCATGTACGCATCGCTGATGCGGCTGAGCAACTCGGTAAGTCGATGGCGCGAAAGCCGCGGGCGCCCGTTGTGTTGATTGGTCGTCAGGAATGCTTCTCGGCTGTTTGTCTTCCAGTACGTTGGAGAGGTGGAGTCGCTGGCTGAGCGGCTGCTTTGCGTGGAGATCTCTGAGACCCGAAACCACACCGTAAACGTAGTTCTACATTTGGTCTCACAGCATGCCGAGATTGTCAACTTCCTCCCTCTGGCCAACCGGGTACAAGATTGACCAAAGTTCTGCGAACGAAGCTTGTCTTGTCTCAGTTTTAATCTTTTTTTTTTTTTTTTTTCCACCACCGCAGATTTGCATCGAGATGGCCGACGCTGCAGGAGTTGCCTGCGTGGTGGAGAAATCCAAACATTTTCAATTAGATGGCAAGGCATCGTAGGTTTTTCTTCCTTTTTAATGCAAGCTTGGTGTGTTTATGTTCTCATATTCCTAAACTCATCTTGCCTCATGTTGACAGGAGTCAAATTCAAAGTTTTTGCAGGTAAGAATTTCCAACAAATGAACAGATGATACTGTCAACTTATAGCAGAAGTAACAGATTTTTTCTTCTTTTTTTTTTCCCTCCAGTGCTAAGCGTCTGAAACAGCGCCTTGAGGATCCAACCGAGTTGACCTTGAATCTTTACCTTGAAGAGTTCTGGATGCACACCAGCCCACCACCTCCATGTCTGCTCACTCTGCGATTGCCGTCTCCCGCCGCTCCCTCAGCTGATTCCGGACAACCCACCAAGATGCTCATGTCGACACCGCGGGGGGAAGAAACGGCAGCTAAAGATGACTCTGAGAAAGTGCAATCTTCGATGACTGAGGAGACCACAGCTGCTCCGACAAAGGCTAAGGATGGAACGCTGCCAGCGTCAGCCTGTGGTGGCAATGAGGTCCCAGCTGTGAACAATAACAATTCAACAGCTGTACATAATAAGGAAAAAGAGGCCCCCCCTGTTAAAGAGGAAACCCTTGTGAAAAGTGATGATGCATTGGTAAGTCTTTGCTTGAGAGTGTACTTCACCTCGCACTCTGTAGATTTATTCACCATGAAAACAATTCTCTGAATAGTCTGATCTGTCTTTGTGACGTCTGCGCTGATGCTTGACAAATGTGCTAAATCTGTTGTTGACCTCCGTCTTCACCATTCAGAGGCAGGGGGATGTTGAAGATGCCATTCCTTCAGATGCAGATCTTTTTGACAACCAACCCTTCAACATGGATGAATTTGTCACCGTCGATGAAATCGGGGACCTGGAGGACAGCGCAAGCGAGGCCCCCCGACTACCCCAGAGATCTTCCTCCCAAGCAGATCTGCTGCCTGCTCGCAAACGGACCAAAGTGAGCGCCTCAAAAGAGTCAAAGAGTTCCGCCTCCTCCCTGCTAGTCTCCTCCAGGACCACCAGAAGCTCATCAAAAAGGAGCCTCTCTTCGGGGTCCACCCCCGCGCCGCCTACAAAGTCGCCCCCCCCAAAAAAAACAAAACAAGCAAACGCTTCACACCAGAAATATCCCATACGGTTGTCTCCCACTGATTGTGGAGAAACGAATTTGCCGACAATGGCCAATGAGGATAGTTATCAAGTGTTGGATAGCGTCTGCGATGACCAAAAATCTCCCTCGGGCGAAGTCGGCAACATGGAGGTGGATGTCTCTGGAGGTGGCAGGTCCGAGCTCCAAGCAGCTCCGGAGCAGGACAACATCAGTCAGGTTGAAAATGCTGAGGAAGAGCAGACACAACCAGCTTCTGCATCAAAAGTTGAAGAGCAGGAAAACAGCGGAGGAGAAAATGAGGTGATGGCAGAATCCTGCCAAACAAACGATGCAGTTGAGGACCCGCCCTCAGCTGACCTTGACAGACAAGTTGTAGAGAGTGCCGGTGGACTGTTACTCAAAGACGACACTATGGTCTCAGGACAAGAAGTAGGAGAGGAAGAAGCGGAAGCATACCAGGTGATTGATTCTGTGGAAGAGCAGCCAGCTCCCATCGAGAATGAGCTCAATGTCCCAGAAGCACCGAAGCGTCGTCCTCCCTCAAGCAAAGCACTCAAGCGCAAAGCGCGCATACCTCCAAAGAGGCCGGCGTCCGCCACCGCCAAACCTCCTGAGCCCGAGAAATACCTCGTGGTCGATTCTTTCCAAGTTGAAAGTTCCACAAGCACACCGGCGGCGGGTAGGAGGCGGAGCACCAGAGGAAAGACACAAGAGCAGAGCATCAAAACATCTGTCAAGGATGAGGAGGCCACTTTCCACATTATAGACTCGGTGGAGGATGAAGTGAGTGTCACCCCGAAAGTCACCAGAGGAAAAAAAGGAAGACCGCCAAAGAGAGACGCATCAAGTGAGAACAGAGCTCAAGAAAAAAAGGCTGCCACGGCGAGGGCAAATCCTACACATGAAAGCGCCAAGGGAAAAACACCAATTAAGATTGAGGCCATCATTAAAGAGGAGCCCATCTATCAAGTCCTGGACCAGGTGAAGGTTTCTCCACCCACAAGAGGTAAAAGGAGGAGGGGAAGACCAAAGAAAGAGGTTAAAATGGAACAAAATGACACGATTGATGAAGAAGAAGCAGCGACGTTCCAGGTCCTGGACTCTGTGGAGGACGACACGGGCCCGGATCTGCCGTCGACTGAGCACACGCCATACGATTCAAAAAAGGAAGGCGGGACAGACACGACGTCTCCGATAAAGCTCGAGGATGAGGAGGAAGCAACGTATCAAGTGGTTGATTCTTTGGAGGAAGAGCCGGCCGAAGAAGAGGTGAGCGCCACGGATGTTTGCGGTTCAGTCGAGACAGAAGAACACCAAACAAAAATAGGTGAAAAAGTTGCAAAATGTGAAAACAAACAAGAGGCTGATGTCAAAGGGGAAGATGTGCCTTCCCGAATGAAGACCAGGTTGCAACGGCGCTCCGCTGCCAAAAAAGACGGCGCACCGCTGAGCGCTCTCACGCTGGACAAAGTGAGCGACGACGAGGAAGACTTCTCCGACGACGTTGCCCAGAAGCCAGCGGAGGCAAAGGGGCAAGCCGAGAAGGAACGCAAGAACATCCGGTGCCGGGAGCGCGGCGCGTCAAGCAGATGGCAGGCCAGAAGACGCGAGGCTAAGGAAAAACTGGTCACGCTGGACCAAGTCGGAACGGAGGAGGCCGGCGACCAGCGGCAGCGAGCGCCGGACAGTGACGTCTCTGAGGGCGAGCTTGCGCTGGTTACTCTGGATGAGCTTGTGCTCGAGCAGGAAGAGGCAAAAGGGCAACGCCCAGTCAGCGAGGGAGAATTCTCAGAGAACTGTCTGAACCCTGAGGTGACCAAGTGCTTTTTTTACGGCCTGAGCAATGTGGTGCAAAGAGCCTCTCGGAACTGCCGTATCAAAATTTGCGCTCACATCACGATGCGTATCCACACACCACCACCCCAAAATCGTGTTTGAGAGCTGATTTATTGCATTGCTGTCGATGAAAATGATAGGGCACGTCTCCAGTGCCAGAACACGCACATTCAATTCTTTGCTCGCACCGCCAATAACATTTTTAATATCTCACAAACGCAAACAGCGATGGCTACATCATCTTCCCAAATTCTTTTTCAAAGGTTTTAGTAGCCATGAGTCCTGCACTAAATGAATCTCCGCACGCTTACCGTCATGGCTGACCACTTCCTTCTGTGTCAAAATAATACCGTGATCCATTTTTAACAAAACGGCCTTGCTGAACTTTGAAACATTTGAACTCGATTTGGTACCTTAATTTAACATCTTTAGTCTCGGTTCGATTAAAAAGTCGACGAGAGGTCGACCTTTTTTGTAATGAAGCGGCTATTTTAGAGACTCTTTGGTCATCACCAGTGGTCCTACCTACCATGCCACACTTTTCCTCGAGGTTTTCGTCTGATTGCGAGAAAATTTGATCTGTGCACAAAATACATGTTAATTTTTTTTTAATATAGGGCCTCTTTCATACCCGACATCCCAAATCCCATTGTGTAAAAGCAGTTTTAGTCTACATGGGTAATTGCAAGACATGACAAGGCTGTGAACAGGGTAAACCCAGGAGCTGCCTTTTTTCTTTCATCTTTTGAGGTCGCTCTTGGTGACTTGTTGCATTTTGCAGACTCTTTTGACTTTGGATGAAACTGGTGATAAGGAGGACCACGATGAGAAAAGTGAATCTGTGGGGATGCCTCAGTCTACCGAACGCAAACGTAGCGACGACACAGGTACAGTGTGTAGTAGATAAAGAACAAAACATGGAAATGATGGTTCAAAGGGGTACAGGTAATCCGATGCCTTTGCTTTATTTTCCATGTAGAGGACAATGCAACCTTGGTGACACTGGACCAAGTGGGACATGTTGAAGAGGACATCTTGAGAAGCGTAATTGAGAAGCGGCATCGATCGGCTTCTGGTTGGTCTCGAAGGATGGTCTGACAAAGTGATATGAATTGGAATCAACTTGCCACATTTTGTTGTGATGCAGTGACAATTTCGACCGGCGCGAACCAGGGCGAGACAAAGGCAGCGACATCATCCGATGATCCCCGGCTACCATGCGTCCATCCGGAGGAGAAGGAGAGAGAGGAGGAGAGGGAAAAGGAGCAAAACAAAAAAGAGAATGCAGAGGAGGAAAGCACAATGGCGGAGACGGAAAACGAGGAGTTAGCCGCGTCTGCTCGGCAGCCCGTGCAAGCTTCACTCCAAAAACTGGGTAAAGGTCCTGACATGTGATGTAGTTGAACCACAATTTTCGGCTAATAGAACCGGAAAATTTGGAAAGATTTCATAAGTGAACAGCTCCCGTTATGTCAAAGTGAGTTTATGGACCTATCATGATATATCATGGATATATAATCAGGGATTATTTCACGGTAGGTTTATTCATACCTTTTACAATAATATAAGCTTTTCAAGGACGAAATACTTAAAACTGACTGGTAGGAAGACCTGTTTGTGGAGGTATTGAGTCTTGGTTAGATGTGAGTTTTTGCCACAGGACACTTTGTTTTCAATGACCATGTGACCGATCATGTGACCATTGAATTGTGCGACAGGCAAACGCACGGCGGAGCTCATTTCACCTGCAGCAAAACGATCACGTTCCGAATCTCCCTGTGGCCCTCCAGCTTTTGTTCTGCCAGTGTTCAAACCCAACAACCCTCTTGGTACAAAATGCACTTATTTTCTTGTTGTATTATTCCTTTATTTATTCTTTTGGTCAATTTATGTCTTGTCGATTGGGGTGCAGGTACAGAGTTTGTCGTGCCAAAGTCTGGTTATTTCTGCGAACTCTGCTCAATATTTTACCTGAAAGAGAGAATAGCCAAAGACATGCACTGCAGCAGCCGGAGGCACTATGACAATTTAAAGGTGGGCTTCCTTTAAAACCCCTTTTAGCACATGGCACCTTCATGCAAATCTGACCCATGTATAACTCACATGTTGTCTCTCCACAGAAATATTACCGCAAGTGTGAAGAGAATTCAAGAGCATCCACTCAAGGCTCTGTCTCCGATTGAGCTCCTTTCCAATGACTGTCAAATGTTCTTTTTTTTTTTTTTGTCTTTACACCTGCAGCCAGAGTTTTCCATCGCGCATCCGATTTCAGACCTCTATCTTCAAGTTTTTAGTCTATTTAGTTTTGATTTGCTGTAGCTATACTGTAAATGGGAGACGATAAAAGTTGTATCCTGTCAGTTTGTTTTTACGAACATACAGATAGATTGCCTTTAAACTGCTTATTAAATGTTCACAGTAAAATGATGGCCTGGACTTGAAGTGTTTCTTTTAGAGTAGCGTGTTAAGCAGCTGTGTTTTCTGGGTATGAATCTAGGCCCGATGTCGAATTTACATGTTATTCCTGTGCTCGCGTTTTTTTAAGCGGCGGGCCTTAAGCTTACTTCCATAATACAAAAACATGCTCGTTTACTTTGTTAGACTCTTAGTCCTTGTGTGTGAAAATGGGTCGAATTGTTTGTTTTGTGCAGTATAAGATTAACATGGCAAAAGATTCGGGTTGGGGGAGATAGTGAGGGACAAACTGTCATCTATCGACAAATTTGCCATACAAACGGCGTTTATTTATTTGTTGATTTGCTTCAGGCATTTGTCGTAGACACCTAACACTTTAGAAAAGCCCCCCGAACGCTACAGTAATTCAGGAATTATTCCAAATTGAGGCAAACTACTCTTAGACGTGTTCGATATGCTTCTAAAGTCGTATGAAACTTAACGAATGGAGGTCTCCTCGGCCTTGGAATGTGTCGAAAAGAAAGCAAGATGTCGAAATGTGAGTTTATTTCCTCTTCTGTCACAACTTGGCCAACTCGGCTCACCGATATTAAGCAAAGCAGCACGACACAAGCACATTTCCTATCAAAAGCGAAATGGACGAAAAAAAAATCACGACAACACGTTCAATTTATATATCTTTGAACAAAGTACAACGATATAGTTTTCATTGTGGGGATAACAGCCATGTAATCAAAAACAAAATATAGTATTAATTTCACAAATAGAATCATGTTCAAATCAAGATTTAAATTTAATCTTATGTCCTTAAAGTAAATAAAGAAATCATAACGACAACGTAGTTGTCCTTTAGTATTCATTTTAAAATAACTGTATTATTATCGTTAAATCTTGCGTGTCGTGTCAGTTTGGTGAAGTCTGACCTCTGTCAGCGTGTGTTTGGTATTTTGGTGTGTGCATGCACTTGTGGTCCTAAAATAAAATACACTGTTGTGCGTGTGTGTGTATGTGTGTCAGAGGGGGCATACTGAGGGAATGAGACAGCTTAGAGCAGCAGCTGTAATTTAGCAGTCGGTCTCTTTCTTTCTCTCTCTCTCTCTCTCTCTCTCTCTCTCTCTCTCTCTCTCTCTCTCTCTCTCTCTCTTTCTCGCTGTCGCTATCTAATGAGGGCCACTCGTCTCCGATAAGGACAACATTTGGATATTCCAGCACGGCTCTGCTCTGATCCTGTGTGTGTCATGCTGCGTGTGTTCATTCTGTGTGCAGAACGCCTGCAAACTCCGGATGACGACATCAGCGACGCCTACTGCACCGTCACCCATGAAGGTAAGGGTGTGGCCAAAACAGCCTGGGAAATGGGATGGAAGCGTGAAATTGATGTGCGGAAAGATACTCATGATTATGATTATTTGTGTTATAATTGATCTAAGCACTGGTCCCCTTCTTCCTGCCAAACAGCTGAGAGGCTATTATTGGAAAGCTGGCTTCAGTGTCCCCCGGAGGGAGGAGGGAGGGGGGCACGCTGACGATTCAAGCTCTCCATCCATGTTTTCCGTTTTTTTTTTCATTTTAACCAAGAGAGAAACTTGTAGCAAAGCATACACAAACACCAATGGCACAGATATAATCAATAAATAGAAAGGGATGGCTGCACTGCAGTTTGCAAGAGACAGGCGAGGAAGAGAGAACAGGAAATGTTGGGATTTCCTCTGGATGTGAGGTGTGTGTGTGTTTTCAGGACACGCTCAATTGTTATCCACTTTTTCTCTGAGTGGGATCCAGTCTGGCGGAGAAGCTCCCACAGTGAGGACTGGTCTCCTTTGATTTTTTTTTTCTAGGAGTTGCAGAGATATTGTTTTTATTTTATTTTTTATGTGATTTTTTTTTAAAAAGTTTTTTTTCTTTTATTGCTGTTTTGTATTAGTCGTGGCGCAATTTTGGTCGGTGATGTAACGATCTACATTCTACAACATCGTCGTCACCAACTCATTTGAAGTTTTCGACCATGTTACGTTGCGTTGTTCAGCGGGCCAACAACCTGAGACACTTGGACCCCCTGGCCAGTGTCACCTTTCGAGGTAAGAAGAGGATGGGTACCCAAGGCCAAGCGCTGCCTCCTTGAAATATCCCTCATCATGAAGAAGCTCTGACAAAAGATGCTGAGTCATGTTTACCATATGTTTGTGTTGCCATTGGGGACGCAGCTCCAAAGTTAAAAACGAGTGCTTTTGCTGTTGTATTTCCACAAGTTAGTTGCCGCTTCTTTATGAGGTGAGCGCTTCGATTAACTTCCTGCCTTTGTGTTAGCGCCATTTCCTGCTGTATGGCATGCCAATGAAAAGCGGCTTCATCATTTAGCCTCATCCCCAAACGGTCTTATACTGCACCGAGTTGTGTAATGCAGTACAAACGTTTTCACAGGAAAATGGAACAGAAAGGGCTCAAGAGAAGCGGGTTCACGGTGCTGCGCTCCGGTCACCGTCTATTCTTGGCCCATGAACCTGTGCCAAGCCGTAGCCGCCAGGAAGTGGACGCTGTGCCACTTCCCGTCCGTCCCAGAGACGTCAAATCAGAATGTGTGCTCACGGGAGATGGAGACTAAGCGCACCCTCTTGACCCCTTCGAGGAAGGGTGGAGGTGTTTTGTTAAGATATCTGCCAAGAGCGGAGGTGTACTTCCATGGGTGTTTGTGCGCGTGCTCTCGCGCAAAACAGGAAAGCAAACAAGCATTAGAAAATAATGAGTCTTTTCCGTGTACTAAGGCGCATAAAAGATAAATGATGTTCTCTCTTCATTTCCTCAGGGTCAAAGAAGAAGACCAAGGTCATCAAGAACAATCCCAATCCCGTTTGGAACGAGGTGGGCTCTCCAGAACTTGCCCAATGTGAGACTCAAGAAGCCGTCGGGTGAATTTACAGCTCTGATGTGAACTTTCACCTCCAGGGGTTCGAATGGGATCTGAAGGGAGTTCCTTTGGACCCGGGAGCTGAGCTTCACTGTGTCGTCAAGGACCATGAGAAGATGGGAAGGAACAGGTGACTATAGTCAATGCTAGCGTTGAAGAAGCCCAGATGAGATCTTTGCAGATGTTTCCACACGTGGCTTGTGTGCAGGTTCCTGGGTGAAAGTCGGCTTGCCGTCAGAGACGTGCTCACTTCTCCCAACTTCGCCGCCTCCTTCACCGTCACTCTGCTGGACACCAAGAGGAACAACACGGGGGTGAGAGAGTTTAGTTCTAGTTCGGTGAAACGATGAACCGAGGCAGCGACATCTTCTCCTTCACAAGTCATAGACTGCTGTTACTAGATTTGCGACCGGATGAGCCAGTCAGGCTGGGTCGCACATTTTCACCGATTGCTTGCGGGGATCCGGAAAGTTTCCTTCGCTGTCAACGGGCTGTCACAATGTTCTTTTTTGGTTCTTGTTTTAGGCTACACTCACCCTGCAGGTTTCTTACATCCCGCCTCCCGGGTCAGCTCCCATGTTCCAGTCCCCATCGCTGCCTGAGTCCTTGCCTCACAGCAACCCCAATGTGGAGCTGGACACCGTCACAAGTAACATGTCTCTCGCTCCCACTCAGAGAAGGCGCCGGTTGCCTGCTGTCAAACATTTTTTTTTTTTGTGACGTGTTGATGTCTGTCGGTGCAGTGATCTCCCTGGACACATTGGGCGAGGAGGACACGGAAAGCATGATCATGCTGGATGTCCCGGAGGAGCAGGGTGCGGATGACGGACGTTCCATGGTAGTGGTCGGCCCCCAGGGGCCTCAGGCCCAGGAGTCGCCTACCGCCCAGACCCCCAAACGCTCGCCACCGTCTTATAACACTCACAGAGGACTGAAGAGGAGACGGAGGGGTGCCACCAGTCAGCCCAAACCACTGGCCAACAAGCCTCAGGACATTCAGGTACCGAAACAGGCCATGAGTGCCTGCTAGTGGCTCATACTCATGTTGACACCTCCTGTGCAGGTTCGCGTGCGGGTCATCCAGGCTCGACAGCTACCGGGCGTCAACATCAACCCGGTCGTTAAGGTTACGGTCGCTGGTCAGAGCAGAAGGACGCGCATCCGTAAAGGCAACAACCCGAGCTTTGACGAGGTAAAGTGCGACAGACTGGAGTCAAATAGTCAATTCATTATATTTAAATGAATGGCAAAAGTTTATTTTATCGTTAGAAAATACTTTTATATGTTTATTACATTACAAAAAGAAATTCAAATTTATCAGTGAATAAACTGCTCCATCTTTCCGTCTGGTCCTGGAATTCAAAAGTTTGCCCACCACTGCTCAACACGACACAATAAATCCATGCAGTCAGCATGTGCTTCCATTTCCTGTGCGCAGACTTTCTTCTTGAACTTCTTTGAGACGCCATCCGACTTGTTTGACGAACCCATCTTCATAGCGGTGAGTGGCCCTCATCCTCTACTCTGCGCCGCTTCCCAGACTGACAGGCCCGTTGTGTGGCCTGACAGGTGTGTGACTCGCGCTCGCTCAGAACGGACGCCGTCATCGGAGAATTCAAGGTGAGCGTTCAGTGTGCGATCAGAAGTGAGGGCTTTTCCCACCCTGAATTTGACCTCGCGGGCTTGCGTGCTTGTGTCGACAGCTGGACGTGGGCGCAATCTACAGCGAGCATCGTGAGTAGCGAGGAGCTTTCTGCCGCCGCCGCTGCCTCGCCAGCCACGTGAATTGAGCAGCCCATGTCTTTGGTAGGACACTGCTACTTGAGGAAGTGGCTGCTCCTCTGTGACCCCGACGACCTGTCTGCTGGGGTCAAAGGTTACCTCAAAGTCAGCCTGTGGGTGTTGGCCGCCGGAGATGAGCCGCCGGTGAGAAGTGAACACGTTGGTTCTTGAATGTCCACATTAATGACCTGAATCTTACTTTGCGCGTCATCCTTCATTTCCTGACACGAGTTTGACACTGTGCTTTAAATGCCACCTCTCAACATATCAGATTGGAACAAACGCTTGCCGGTGAAGGCATGTTAAGGATGTGGGCACATTGATGAT